TACCTAAAACATTTTTTCTAGCCTTTGGATCTGCAAATCTTTTCATGGCAGTTTTTACACCTATCTTTACAAGATCATATCCTATTGACAAAATAGCCAAAGAATTTAATCTATCTTGAGTCATGGATGACCACAAGTATGTTTTTATAAGCTTTAGTTTTGGAAGATCCAAAACACATGACATGGCAGCATTGATGATGCCCTAGGCTTCTGTTTAGGTTGCCAGTACCTTGAACTGGCCCTTTATATACCATATCTAACCATACTACCTAAAATGCTTTAATGTTGAGTGATTTTTCCATTGAAATGCATGGCCATTGGTAATTATAATGATATTTTAAGATGCAAGCTAAAGCAAAACCCAACTCAAAAACATTCAGAAGACCTAGGATCATTGAAAGAGACTAGATTCAGAACATTATATAAACTTAAAGTACTGGCTAAGACTAATTCAGAGTTTTCAATTGAAAGTGAATCTGTTTACATTAAGTCCTATCAGCCATCTCTCTGTAAGCAGTAACAATCGTTAGTGGTTTAAATGTAATTAAGCTGCAGGTGTTATATTTTCTATCATATAACATTTGTCTTGATTTTCATTTTTTTTTTGTCCTTAATCTTTGCTCTGATGAGAGAGGACCAATAAAGCAGTTTATGTGTCTATTTTGTTAATCACTGTTGTAATTCAATATTAACAATTTATGGTAACAGTTTTGTTATAAATTTTCTTCTTTTAATATACCCATTTTTATTGCACTACCAAAACTTTGCACTCCTGCTACATATATATATATATATATATATATATATTTCACCTGTAAATCTGTAAACCCATAAATATGAAACAAATCTATATTCATTTAACAAAGGGGGAGGACATTGAATTTATATTTCAATCTTTTTGCAGTATGTGATTCATTGAATTAATTTTCTTCTTGTTGATGCACATATGTTGAAAAATAAATATTTCTTATGCAAAATGCTTTTTATTCATCATTAGACTGTGGACTTGTTGATTTACCTCACCACACATGTTAATAAGCATGTTTGTGATGTGAACATAGATCAGTGTGCATATATATATATATATATATATATATATATGGTTAATGAAATCACACACCTCCCACTAAAAAAGAAAAATGTGTGTGCATATATTATGTAAGTATTTCTTAATTATTATGTATTTATTAAAATAACCATTTTTGCACACATCCATCTTCTCAGGTTTGCATGATCACAGAATAAAAATAAACTAAGTCTTGTGAATTGAAATGTGAGAGAATTCATCTTTTAGGCTGAAAGCAAAGCCAGAATAACACTTCTCTCAATATCTGGAAGCTGTTTTGCACTCAAAGCATGCATGTTGGAATAGAGTCTGTTATTTTGCTGAAAGCCAGAAAAAGTCACAGAATCAAATTACATTTTGAAAGCGACTCTGCCAGGTTTCCTCTGTGCTTCTCTTTCCAACCAGAAGTCTTTACAGAAATGTGTTAGTATGATCAGAAGAAAGTGCTTAGAAGCAAAAGTAAATAAATGAGAATCTCACCTTATTCTGTCTGAAGGTAGAAATGGAAGAAAAATATAGAAAAATTCTATTACTGAATGTGGGGAGAAGGAGGATCAGGCACCTAATCCTTTAATCAGAGTTACCAAATTAAATCTTAAGGACTTTGAAAATGAGAGAAAAACTTCACCTCCAAACAAAGAAAATGCCAATTTGCAGAGAATTTAGTAAAATGTAGAAAGCAATATTATTAATTGGAATTTTTTCTAATTCACAACATGGAAATTTATATTCACATATATTACTAGCCTCAATAGGGTACTGCTCATGCTAAATATTGATGACACTTTAGGTCAACTCACTTTTCAGCACCCCTAATTTGTGGCTTGGTGTCAGACTAAACTAAGTAAATATCTACATTGTAGACCACAAATGAGAAAAAAATCTCACTAGACTATTTGCTAGTATTGCAACCAAGTCTCACTAAGTAACTCACTATTGTTGCCTTGCGATGGATTAAGTAAAAGTTAGTAAATAATTACTTGATTATATTGTATATTCTTGAAATTTGCCATTAAAGGTTTGATAGATATGTTAAATATTTATGTTTTTTTAAAGTTAACCAGCCTTTATTCTAAGTATTTGTATTTTGGTAACAATTACCTGACTAACTACACACCTGAATAAAAAAATAAGAAAACTATTTGAAAATTGAAATACCATAAACATTGGGATAATTCAGGAAAGGAAGTGAAGCTTAATGGATTTTGGAATGAAAAAAAAAAATGTAACCTGTGAATAGAGTTTACATTTTTACCTAAAGCTGTATGTATTGAAAAGCATGAATCTATTTCTCCCTAAAATTTCATCAATAGATACTTTGATATAAGCTTTTATCACTGACATGCCATGCCATACCAACTGAAATAGAATAGTGTGTCTAGTAGTATGCCTACTCATCTGGAAAGGAGATGGGTGCTGTCAAATAACTTTAACAGATGCCATCAAAGAAAGATTATAACACTCCATTAATCTCTGATATTGTTAAGATTACCCCACTTTGTTTTCTAGGGTTCCCACTAGGTGTTGTTCTATTTAGGACTATAAAAGGAAGTAACATAAATCATTTCTTTCTCTTTTGTAATAGTAGTGAAAACAATAGGACTTTTCTGCAATGAGGGAGATTTCTTCTCTTAGTTGGTCATAATCATAATTTCAGCCAGCCACATCACACACATTGTCTAACAGCAAAGTCTATAAATGTTTTTCTTCCTTTTTCAACTCTGTACACATAAGTATATTTTCTCTTCTCGAATTATGACACGCACACATATACATATAGATATAAAATGCCTCCATATGTTGAATTCATGTTTTCTACCTCAGCCATAACTCCACTCACTAAAGACTAGTGAACAAACAATAACTTTGTCCAATACAAATTGTAGCAATGCACCACTAGAATATCAACGGACAATCTCATAAATTTAGACAAAATATAAGCAACTATTAATACATATGATGAGATGCTGAAAAGTGGCATTCAACACATCAAAATGAAGTACAAGTGGATAACTTACATGTTTAGATACCTGTGGCCCTGACAGGTACACTTGTAGATAGTTGTTATATTTTTTGGCTTGTTATTGACATCTTTGATGTTTTTAAGGCATTATTTCATCCAATACATTCTTAAGCATTTGTCTGCTTTTCTATTTTAAACATATCATGACAACTAAATCATAGGATTGGATGTTAAGGTTTTATGAGTGAGAATTGACACATGAAAACCATTATTGATTTTTTGATTAGTATTTCTTTCATTCTAATTCTAGTTGCTTTTTATTATAACAATTCAGCCTAAAGGCTGTAGACTGATGGTCTAAGTAGAAGCAACAAAAAGCAAATTAAATTAATATGAAAAAATACTAATCCAAAATTTATAATGGTTGGTAAAGTTTCATCATATGAAAATTCAAATGTATGGAAAAACAATAACAAAATAACCCAAAGCAACCACAGAAAAATACATAGGAAGTTTCAATGGTTAAATTTGATCTTCTGCAATTTGTAGAATGGATGGTATGGTTAACCAAGCTTCCTATGATAAAGGGATGTAAGGTCATGCCTCACCAGGAACATATTCTTTATTTCTGACATGTAGTATTTACTGATGACTGTTGACCGACAGTCTGAAAAGTTATGATGAATTACAACTAAAAATAAAATGAAAGAAATGTTCATGATAATATAACTACTTGTTTACTAATGGGTGTAGACCAAAAAAGAAAAAAACAAGTAATGAAAAATGACTAAAAATTAGGATGAAAGAAATGCTTGTCAAAAATTAATAACTGTTGAAACAGTTTCATCTAATAAAAATAAATGCCATAATAATATTTCTAGATAAGATTGTCTTCTACTTGCCTCCTGTTGTGAGAAGGAGCAGTGTGTTCCATTGCTATGACTTATGGGATTATTAAACTGGGTGCAACCTCCCCCTGAAGAATACTGTAAGTATTTCATATTTAATGTACCCGTTTAACTCTGGGGAAAAAGAAAAGAAAATCTCATGTATAATATGCACTGACTTTTTAGAATTTGTAGTGGATAAACATAAATTTAATATTTGTTCAACTTTTTATCCAGTTTGTATGGACTAAAAATAAAAATTTCTATATAGTTTATGTTTTGAAACATAAAATTTAATCATTATTTAGAGTAAATGTATGGATGCATTTACAGAAAATGCAACAATCTTGTGGTAATAAACCCATAAAAATTGGTAAACATTCCAATGGCTAGTAGCTTTTCTTTGTAATGACATAAAATAACAATGAACCTTATTACTACTTCCTTATTGAAGAAGGAGGATAAAATGACTGCAGACAATGACACTAAAGATGACAAAGACATCTGTTATGTTAGCAACATTGATAAAATTGTCATGGTAGCTGTAATACAGATGAAAATGTGCTTAATAAGTGAATAAGATATTTAAAAATTTTAAAAAATATTTAAAAAAACAAACAAATGCACTGTTTTCTAGTGATTTAAACTATTAGTTATACATTAGTTAATTTGAAACAGACTTGTGTCACAGCATCTTGAATATGGTGGTGCAAATGGCTAGAAAAAAGTTAATATTTAGTTCTGATGTATAATATACACCTCTAACTTTTAGGCTTAAAAATCTGAAAAAAATGTGCATATCATAGACAATAATTACAGTACTTTTGAAAAACCATTGTATTATTCACAAGAAAGATGAAAAAAAGCTTGTATAATATATGGAATAATGAAAACCATCTATAAAAAAAGTTTACATTAAAAAAATTTCTGATGAACGATTACCTACAAATTTAAAATACTATAATCTTCAATATTATTATTATTAAGAGTTTGATATTTAGCTATCTTCATTTTCCCCCTTTCTAGTTTTTTATCACCAAAACATGAGATTAACACAGTGAACAAAAAAAGTATAAATTCTTACCCATTTTCCAGTACAGTCATGCATATAACATCTCGTACTCCTGGATTGAAGATTTTGTCTGCTGAACACCCATCCAAATTCCAAGTAGCAATCCGAATTGCAGGTGTATTATTCCGCTTAAAATTAAAAGGTTGTACTTTGGGTCGAATAGACTTTCGAGCTAACGGTCCTAATAGTTCTAGGAGATCTTCAAAAGAATTGTTCAACTTGGCTGATAACTCAACATTGTCCTCTTTTTCAGTTTGGCCAACATTAGGTAAATGTCCGTTGGCATTTTGTAATTGTTTTGGTGTTGATGACAAGCTATGGTTAGCAATTGTAGATATGGTTGCTGAGGATACATCTATATCACTCAGTGTTAAGTGGTGTCGGATTGCTCCGAGAAGACCTGCCCCAATCCCTTTTACCTTTGAGAGTTCGTCAAGAGATTTAAAGGGTCCTTTTTTATCACGATGGGCCACGATATTTTCAGCTATCAGCTGACCAACACCTTTGACCTTCATCAACTGAAACACATTGGCAGAGTTTACATTGATCCGTAGCTGGGCATTGCTGTTTGACCGACGCATACTACGTTCATTCAGGTTGACATCCTGACGGCTACTCCCAGGGGAACTCCCACGAGAACTGCTACTTCGTTTTTGACTGACACAGATCTCTGGCCGCATCACCCCAAGTTTGGCCGCACCGACACCAGACACAAGAGCTAGATCCTCAACCTTCTTGAAGCCACCAATTCGACAGCGGTACTCGATGATGTTCTGGGCTGTGTTTCGGTTGATTCCAGGTAATGTCATAAGTTCCTCTTCTGTTGCATTGTTGATATTGAGTAGACTCTGGAATTGGTCACCTTCATCTGCAAGATTCGAAAGGTTAAAAGCAGCACTGAAGTTATGGCCATGGCATCGACTACTATTGAATGTACTTTGGTGATTGCCAATACTATCTTTGTATCTTATTCTTTGAGGAATACAACAGCTATTCATTGCCCCCATGGCAATAACAAAATTGTAGGTGTGGTAGGGCTTCTTTCTAGCACAAATGATATTGATTTTGCCCCCCGAAACAACTTTCAGACACTTGTTCATTAACAAGTGACAGCATCGTGACGGAGAGTTGATGGTTAGGAGGTATGAAGAAAAACATCCTACATCGTGAGGTGGTCAGTGGTCAGGAGGTAATCAAGTCAGCTGAAATGTAGAAAGAAAAAAAAATTTAAAAAGAAATTTCTAATTCTTTTAATGAATCATTATAGTTTGGTGACACATCATTGCCTACAAAATGGTCATATTATCCTCAACATATTTTTAAGTTACTTTTTAAATAATGATTAAGCATGTTTATAGGGATGCACTGACATTTTTATACTGGTCATATAGAGTAAATACTTTTACAGATTCCCATAGTCCATTCATGTTATACAATATAAATATGAATTGTCTGAATTTCTGAAATGCGGTGTAATTCTTAATTGCATTCAAACTAATTTCCTCATCTTTGCTGTTATTACAACAATGTTTCTGCCATTGGGCCATTTGACCTTCTTCAAGTATCTGTTGAACTGAGTAATCTTCATGGAATTTTGAACTTCAGTTTGAAATCCCCTGAATGTTACTCAGATCAATAGATACCTGAAGAAGGCCAGAAGGCACAAGAGGTGAAATTTGATAATAATAAAAATGAGAGCATTAGCTGAAGATGTAAATAATGATTTTATATCATATCAATTCCTACAGAATGGTTGTGCGTTGACAAGCAATCCTGGTAAGTAGATACACAGTTTAATTAAAAAAGTTTATGTAGTCAATTTATTTTTTTTTTAATATTAAAAGCTTTTTCAAGGACAAAATATAACCCAAGAATCATTGAAGCATTTCAGCTAACAGTATTATCCTTTTGTTGCCTCACAGAACTGTGTATTCTGATTCCACACCACTAACCAAACATAACCGACTTAAAAATTTTATAAACAAAATATTCGATGAGATTTAAAAAAAAAAAAAAAAAAGAAAAGAAAAAGAATTTTAACATGAAAAAAAAATCATCAAATATAGAGAAAATAAGTCCAAGACCCTTTTGTGTATGGCTCATTTCAAATCAAACAATTTTATTCTAAGAATAACAAGATCATTCTGGAATTAAGTTCTTTTCATTAGTAAAGTTCAGTTTTCTTTATACAAGAAGGCATTGAAAGCTTCCTGATCCAACCCACTTTCCAAAACATTTAAGCACTATTTTCAATTAACCAAATTTATTGTTACAATCACAAATTCTCAATATTAATGGGGAGACACAATTAATTATTGAATAATACAGACATTTTTATGAACCACTAATAAATGTCATAAAAGTGAGTGAGAAATGAAAATATTGGCGTAAACAATTTTTCATAGTATTCCAAACATTGGTAATACAAAAGTAAAGAATATTTTATTCTGTGAAAATGAGAATTATTTTTATCATTTTTCAGAGTTTCTATTTCTCATTTGCTTTTTTGAATTAACCTCTAATTTCTAATCCTTTAAATTTATAACATTTGATAAACCAATACAATTTGTGACTAAAATAGTTGTATATTTTTCATCTAGTGTCAGTAATTTATATCAAACTTTACAATAAATGCCTTGCTGATTCTTGAATTCCAGCTTGTTAGAAGTCCTCCTTTATAGTTCCTACCTTTAAGAACTGTTCTGATCCTTCGAATTACCTATTTTTGGCAAAGTACTAGATGCTCTAATCAATGCCAAATTGGTTAAGCATCTCACTTTGCATGGCCTCCTTTCAAATAAACAATATGGCTTCCGTTTCTCCAGGTCTACTGTTGGTGTGTTAACAGCTATCACTTAATTTGTCTATCAAGCTTTAGATAAAAAACAGCAAAGTTAACCTCCAGGAGAACAACTCTTTGCACCTTCAGTTGACATGAAGTAGAGTGATTATATTGAATCAATTGCTAGGTCTACTGCTAGGAAAGTTGGTTCACTTTGTTGTGCCAGACAATTTCTCTCATTCGAATCCATCTTGCACATTTATAAATTTACTATTCATCTGTGTATTGAATACTGCTGCTATATCTGCAATTGTTCCTATTATATTTCTCTAGATTCTTGACAAAATTCAAAGCAGGGTCTGTAATGTAACCAATCCTGACCTGTATCTTGACTTCAGTCACTTTCTCACCAATGTGATGTGGCTTCCCTCTGTCTTTTCTACAAATACTTTCATGGCAATTGTTCTGATGAGCTTTCCCCCTTACTGTTTTGACTGCATGAATTTAAATGTACTACTAGATTAGCAATGTTCTATTGTAATAGTTTCTTATTTCATGTTTTTCACCTGTGGAAATCCCTCATAATTTCTTGCTTTCCTGCTACCTACAATCTTCAAAAATATAATTGTTATATCAATCACCAGCTTCTGTCTTCCTGAACCTTTTCTTTTATTGTCCTTTCTCGTCACTAAAGTCTTCTCTTTCTCTTTCACTCCCTGTAACCCCTTGTATCCTAGTGGCATTACTGCCTTGCTGGGGGGTGAAATGATATATATATATATATATATATATATATATATATATGCTGGTATTATAAATGTTGATTTTTCAAGACGGAAAGATTTTTTTCCTGTTTGAAATAGAAGTGCAAAACAAACTATTTTCTTACAATCTTGCCTCATTTGTCAAACTAAGATGACCTTGGTGAATATCTAGATAACACAATTTATGTCTATTCACCACAACCCAATTGTTTTGTTTTTTCCCCCAGTTCAGCCTTCTGTTAAATTGACATGAACAGAAATTAAGAAAACCAAAGATAATGATTGACATTGCATTTAAATTTAAAGATCAAAGTTGGCCTGAAAGCATGGAGTTGGAAGAGCATTCTGCAAGTGAGAAATGCAAGAGGAGAAATTCTTAGGATAGAACTTAAGCAATTTCAACTGTAAAATTATGAGACCTATCTGCTAATCTAGTACTGTGCTTAAATTCATAATGTTGAGGTAGCAAAAAGGAAAGCACATCAGAAAAGGCACAGGGAAGTTATGTTACAGCAGTGGGAAAGTGACAGAAGCTGAAATGTCAGGTCAGGACTGATAACATTGAAGATTCTTTGGAATTTATCCAGAATTTCAAGATATATTACAGAAGTACCAGACCAGATATGGCAGAAAAATCCAATACATGAACAAATAGTTAACATAAATGTGTAAGATATATTTTGGTAAGAAATATTGTCTAGCATGACACAGTGAACCAAATTTTCTAGTAATAGACCTAGCAATTGATTCAATGTAATCTTTCAACTTCATGTTAGTAGAAAACATTAGCCTGAGAAGGCACAAGGAGTCATTCTACTGAAAGTTATTATCAGCCATGCTGATGAAATGCAAAAAAAGTTTTCTAAGATGATTAAAAAAGCACAGTTTCATTTTAGAGGCATTAAAATTCACAAGCCATTTCTTGCTCCAGTTAACAATAGATTGTAGGTCATTTTTTATATGGGCTGTCAATATAACTTTGTTAGACTGAGCAAACCTACTATTAAGACAGGAGTAAATAGTTGTGTCATCAGCATAGATACAGAGTTGAGAACTGATGACAGGGGGATGCTTGTTGATGAAAATTAGACACAGTGTAGGTCTAAGAATAGAGACAAGCATTAATACAAAAAAGATCTAGATGAGTCGTCATTCAAGACAACTTTCATTTTGTGATTTGATAAGAAAGATTGAATCAGATCAAAAATTTATACAGACATTCCAAACCCTGTGAAACATTAAAATTCAAGAAATTTTCTTTATCTGAAGTACTTAATTTTTTTCTTCCAAAAAAAAAGTAAAGAACTATTTGTTATTCATTTCTTATTCATTATTCCTTTCATCTTTGTAAAGCAACAACAGCAAGCATCTTCTTTCTTTAAATTTTTTTTTAGACTAATCTAGATTAGCATGTTTGGAGTTAGTCTGCTGCAAGCATTGTTGACAAGAATAAAAGTTTATTTTGATAATTTTTTTATTAGTAAAAAATAATTTATACATGGAAATGATTGTTATTTAAAAGAAAAAACTAATAATTTTGGAAACTGAAAATTTTAATATTGAGGGAATTTTTTTTCATAGTCAAGTAATTCAATGTAATTAAAATTCACATTCTGTAAAGAATGAGTTAGATTCTAATAGACGTTTGCACCAGAGAAAAGGTCAGAAACGCTTACAATAACTTTGGAACATTAATCACCTTCATTCAAGGTATAAGGATCACTTTGCCTTCATTCCATTATCTATTCAGTGTCCTATAGAGACATTTTTACATCCATAATTCATTTTAGTCACAGCAAAAAGAAAAAAAAAGAAAGAAAAGAAGCCTATTGAAATAGAATACACACAAACAAAATTTGGCAATCTTTAACCTTTGTACATCCACCCTCCACACCACAACCAAAAATGATGTGTCAAAAGGAATTTTTTCACTATTATTTTAACTATCTTCACTCTTTGGCAATATTTATTGTTTTAAAAAGCAATGTTTAGAATTGTAATAAAATCTAAACATATGAAAATGAATTTTCTTCATTCTTGAGAATTTAAAACAAAAATAATAAACACTATTAGATTGTTTATTTACACTATTAGATTGTTTATTGGAATGGTTGGCAAAACCTTGGCTAATTACCAATTGATTCGACCTTTATAAAATGGTAAATAATAAGGATTTCCTTATTGTTGGTTCACATATTTTAATAATTGAGTAAATGTTTATAAATTTATGAATAAAGATTTTTTATAGTTATTTCTTTATAAA